TGTGGGTACAAATGATCTTGTGCATGGGTATAATGGGCTTCCTGGCTATAATGGGGGGTGGGGAAAACGTGCGGCATTGCATAGCATGGCTAGCCTGCTATCTACAGCTAGGCAGAAGTTCCCTGAATCCAAGATTGTTGTTAACAGTGTCATCTGTCGAAGAGATATCAATCGTAGAGCCTTAGAACACTTCAATGATCAACTCGATCTAATGTGCAACAATTTCCGAGTTCATTTTGCAGAGGCAGATTTTATAATTAACAAAAGTCATCTAGGAAGGGATGGCCGACATCTTGATAGAAGAGGTAATGCTTTACTTGGAGAATTTATGTTCTTCTACATCAGCCAGGTGATCGGAACCTTTGATTCCACTAAGCCTGATTGGTCCAAACGAGATGATAAAGTGATCGTATCATGTGATGTTCCTAATCCTGATATTTCGTGTAGAGCTGTGATTGGTGAGCCTTCGTCTTCTATCTTATCCTCTTCATCGGGAAACGAGCTCATCCTTCAACATTCACCACTCGAATAGCACATGTGAACATGCGCTCCCTCAATACTGGATTTGAGGAGTTGCGTTCTCTTGTTGATGATTTCAGGTTTGACTTTTTAGGGATTTCTGAAACTTGGCTTAGGCCTGGCATGTCCTCTGATCCTTACAACATTTTTGGTTACAATATGTTGCGTTCTGATAAGATCTCTAATGAGAGTGGAGGTGGAGTTGCTCTTTATTTGAGAAGCGATCTTCGTTTCACTCAAGTCTGTTGACAACAGACGTTGACAACAGTATTCAATATCTCTGTGTTCTTGTAAATATCAAATCCGAAAGGTTGTGTGTTTGTGTTGCATATAGATCTCCATCAGTGTTGTATTCATCTTTAGGTTCTTTGTTGTATTCCTTGTTTATAGACTTCTCCCCAGAGGGAGACAGAATTGTTCTATCGGGTGATCTGAATGTTGACATGCTTGATGCTAGTAAGCCCTGTACAAAATTCTTGAATAATCTATTGGATTCCTTGGGGCTTACACAGGTCGTGAATGAGCCCACTCGTTGCACAGCGACATCATCTTCCCTAATAGATCACATCATAGTTGATAAATGCCTTAACCCATTTGTTGAAGTTGTAAATACGTCAGAAATATTGGATGGTAGGGGGAAGAAAATCACCGACCATAAGCTGACTTACTGTGAAATACCAATTTTTAAGGCTAAAAAGTTTGGGAAATTTATTTCCTATAGAGACTATAAAAACTTTGACATGGCAGTTTTTTTGAGACTTGTTTCAGAAATTAATTGGAATCATATTTTGGCATCAAAAGATACAAATTGTATTGCAAAATTTATTTCAAACAACATAATCAATGTGTTTGATAGCTGTGCCCCTTTAGTAAGGAAACGTGTGACAAGAAATAGGTCACCATGGATTACTTCCAAAATTAATAGCCTTATCAAAGAGAAAAATAAATTAAGAGCTATACATAACAGATGCCCAACTGCCAAGCAATCATACATCAAATGCAGAAATGAGCTGAATAGTGCTGTTCGAAGGGCCAAGAAAGAATATTTTGCGCACAACCTAGATTGCAAAAATTCTAAGAAGTTCTGGTCAACACTGTCTAAAAGTGGCGTTTTAGAAAAATGTGAAAAAGAAAGCCCTTGTCAACTTCCTCCAAATGAATGAAATATGTTTTTTGCAAGTATGGGATCAGGTAATAGTATTGACCAAAAGAGATTGGCATTCTATCAGGAAAATTACTGTGGAGAAGTTGAGAATAATTTCAAATTTAGAGCTGTCACCAAAGAGCAAGTTATAGAAACTATGAATAAAATACGTTCAAAGGCATCTGGTATCGATGGCATATCAATTGATATGTTAAAAGGTGTTAGCCCTTTATTGTGTCTCAGCAATAACTCATCTGATTAATGTGTCACTAGAGACTGGAGTTTTCCCTGATAGTTGGAAGCAAAGCATTGTGATTCCGCTCCCAAAGTGCTCTAATCCAACTACGAGTAGCCACTTCCGCCCAATATCAATTCTGCCTGTTTGTTCGAAAATCTTAGAGAAAATTGTTGTGGAACAGTTGGTAAGTTACCTGGAGGAGTCGGACATACTTTTAGAATCACAGTCAGGTTTCCGTAGAGGGTTCAGCACCTGCACTGCTCTTCTCAATATGACTGATGAGCTTCTTCAGGCCAAGGACCAAGGGTTGCACAGCTTTATGGCGTCACTTGATTATTCAAATGCTTTCGACTCTGTTCATCACGACATGCTCATATCAAAGCTCAGGTTTCTAAAATTCCATGAGTGTACACTCAAATGGTTTTCCTCATATCTTTGTAACCGATCCCAGGTGACTAAGGTGAATGGTAGGTGCTCCGAGTTGATTCAAAGAGAAGTAGGGGTCCCTCAGGGGACTTGTCTGGGTCCAATACTTTTCATATTGTACACCCATGACCTCGATAGCGTTCTGAAATCTTCCACTTTACATTCCTACGCTGATGATTGTCAACTAGTTCTTTCCCACGCCCCTTTTGATTTTCATGAAGCAGTCAATCTCATCAACACTGACTTGCTAAGGGTAAAGCAATGGTCTGACGATCACGGTCTAAAATTGAATCCTGAAAAGTGTACTGTGCTTCATTTCTGGTCTTCTGGTTTGCAGCCTAAAAATAGTCTTATTGGAAAGGTAGAGCTGGACTGTCAAATTCTTGTGGTGTCTGATTCTGTTAAGGTGTTAGGTATCAGAATTGATTCTCAACTCAATTTTCGCTCACATGTTAGTTACATTTGTCAGAGAGTCTCAAATAGGTTGAGAATTTTACACCGTTTGAGAGGGATACTATCTGAAAATGCTAAGCTAGAATTGGTCAAATCAACAGTCTTCCCTATTATTCACTATGCACTTCCATCGTTTGGTGAATGTCTTACTCTTGATTGTAGAGTTCTTCTTACGAGGTTGCAAAACCGAGCCCTGAGGTTTGTCTTCAATCTGAGGAAGTTTGATCATATATCTGCCTATCGCAAACAGGCTAAGGTACTCTCTTTGGAAAAACAATGTTTTCTACAAACTGTTTTAATTGTTCACAAGACACTGTCTTCTAATTTGCCTCCCTATTTGAAAAGGAAACTTATGCCTCGAACATCAGTTAGGGAACGCTGTACTAGGCAGGACGGCTTGCTTGAAATGCCGAGAGTGCGGCGTGAGATAGGTAAAAAGGGGTTCTCATACTTTGGACCCCAGGCATACAACACCCTCCCAAGAAACATGAAAATCATGTCATGTAATTCATTTAAGGCCAATCTAAGGCTAGTTTAGTTCCACTGTTTGTAATTATTGTGTACTTGTAAACTTTTTGTGACTTTGAGTTGTCTTGAAAACCAGTGTATCTGAAGACCGCTTTAAATAAAGGCATTTTATTATTATTATTATTATTATTATTATTATTAATGGTTGCAAACATGGAAAATAAAAGTGAATGAGAGCAAATCTACTCATGTGACCTTCACTACCAGATTAGGTACTTGTCCTCCTGTCACCTTAAATAATGTCCAAATTCCTCAATCCCATGAAGTGAAATATCTCGGCATGACGATTGACAAAAGATTAACATGGAAAAACCACATCTGGAACAAAAGAATGTACCTAAATTTAAAATTTAAAAATCTTTCCTGGCTCCTAAATAGTAAATCAAAATTGACCATTGCAAATAAATTATTACTATACAAAATAATCCTGAAGCCAATTTGGACTTATGGAATCCAACTGTGGGGAACATCTAGTATGTCGAACATAAACATCATCCAACGATTTCAGTCAAAAGTTTTAAGGTTCATCCTGCAAGCCCCGTGGTATGTTAATAACAATATCCTTCACAAGGACAGTGGAATTCCGACGGTTGAAGAGGAAATAACCAAATTTAGTACAAAATATCTAAAGAAGCTTGAAAATCACCCCAATCACCTGGCTCTAAACCTTTTGGACAACAGTACCAGTATATACAGGATGAAAAGGATTCATGTCTTGGACCTATAAGCTCACGTTTTGTTTGAACAATTTAATTTTCTCCTGTTTATTTACTTATTTATTTTTTCATTGAAATATTTTTAAGTTAGATCTGCCAATGGACAGAGACTAACTAACGTTTTATTAATTATTAAGAATAAATAATCTATTACATAATTTAGATTAAATAATCCTACCACATTGTGTAAAATATATTTAATTTCTTTTAATGAGTCGTCTGAAGTTGTGGAATGAGCATTAGCAGTCCTTATATCTTGTTTACATAAAAATGTCAAAGCAAAGATAAACATTTTTTATGACTCCGTTTTATGGTTTATCTTTCTGCCAAAGAGACCAATCAATATTTACTTTTGAAAACCTCACCTCAAAACTTTGGTCATTCACGGTGCGAAGCCCAAGGGGAACTCAAATAACTCATTAGCTAGATCAACATTACAAATGCATTATAGCCAAGTAAAATTTACTAAAAATAACCGACGGTGATCCACCCACGGCCGCCTTTAACTACAGGCCGCGGCCTGGTAGAATTGGCAACATCGCATTGGTGACAGACGTCCCATAAAAGATAACATGGCAGACAGGTGACATCAGCTCGTTAATTCGCACTTTATTGATTTAAATTTATGAACACAAATTTATTAAAATATTCAAAATAAAACATACAGAATTGAAAACCGAAACAATATGAATTAAAATCTATATCCGTACATTTTTCAGCAGAGTCAATATTGTCATAGTCCAGTAACCAATCTTTCGTAAATACACAAATACCATTAACTGCTACCAAACAAAACGGCTGTTATAGCACCACTTGTGACGTTGCCATTTCGAAGGCCGCGGCCTGGAGTTAAAGGCGGCCGTGTCCTTCCATTATGATCCACCCCGGTCCCGTTTCGATTCGATTTTGAATCTGAACTGAACTGAACTAGCCTAGAGTGAAAAGTATTTTGTCTTTGTCGTCTGCTCTGCTTGTGCTTTTTGTATGTTATCGACTTCCTAGTCCAACTATCGTTAATTTTGCGTAGTGACTAGTTGAGTTGAAGTTGACCGCGATCGCCTCGTCCTGCATATTTTTGACGAGCGTAATGTTGTTACTAAAAATTCTGTTGTAAAAATATGTACCCTGTGAAATGTAATGTGATTTTCTTATGTCTTCTATGTTCCATGAAAAACACTGTTCGTTCCAAGGTTCCAATCCAATACAATACATGGGTTAGGTCTATGGACCATATTGTTTGAAACTCATCTGTAAAATATCTTACTACGATTACGGTATTACATCAAGACAAGGTGTACTTACAATGGTTTTGTTGAAAGAATACAGGATATGCATGCCCCTTTCGGTGGAAGAGGTTAGTATTTTTCAAGCTTTAGTAGGCCTAGACTAAATGTCTTGGTCTTAACTTAGGATTAGTTTGAAAAAAAAACCTAAAATTAGGCCCTACTTTAATTGTTATTCATTATTCATTGGCCTTCGTTGATCCTCTGGTGAGGGAATAGACTGCGTCGTTGTTTAATACGGAAAAAAGACACAAAAACAAAGACTACACGCACATATAAAATAAAACTGTATATTAAACATGGCGGGCTGGCAGTAGGCGGTACAAAAAATTAATTGTCCCGCTCCAAATTGTCCTTAAAGAAATCCTCTACTTTGTAGTGTGGTCTATTGATCATCAAGTCTTTCACAGCACTCTTGAACTTCCGGTCGTCCAGACATCGAATGCTGGAAGGGAGTCTGTTGAAGAACTTGATGGCTGACGTAGGGAAGGAATTGAGCGTCCTGCTCAATCTCGCACGGGGAACATCGAGATCCTGCCTAGCTCTGGTATTATGGGCGTGGATGTGGCTTCTGGTGTTGAGAAGAGGAACACTGCATTTGATTTCAACCAGGCAGGCGTAGATGTAGTCGCTGCAGACGGTTAGAATTCCAAGTCTCTTGAATATCGGTTTGCAGTGTTCTCTAAAAGGGCTCCTTGAGATTATACGGACTGCCGCTTTTTGAAGCTTTAAGACTTCCTCCACTTCCGACGCATGACCCCAAAGGTGTAGTCCATACGCAATGTGCGAATGAAACAGGGCATGGTATACCATGAGCAGGTACTGCTCCGTGACACATTTCCGGAGGCGCCTGAGGAGACAGTTGACTCTCGCAAGCCGTGTGGCAACATGGGCAGCATGGTCATTCCAGTCGAGTCGGCTGTCCAGCTGGAAACCGAGAAGTTTTACTGCAGCCATGTCGTCCGAGGAGTCTCTGGGTTTTGTCTCCATTCAGTTGCAGCTTATTCATCTCTAACCATGCTAGAACCATGTAGCTTCTTGGACCTGGATTATGGCTAAATCCCTAGTGTGGTGTAGGTTTGGCCCTTTAGTGAGAAGCGTGGTATCATCCGCAAATAGTATAGAGCTGCTGGTCTCGTCGATGTCATTGATGAGGACCAGGAATAGAAGAGGGCCCAGCACAGATCCTTGGGGAACCCCCTGGTTCACCTCCAGTTCTAGAGAGCTTGCGCCTTCGAGTATTACCCTCTGGGTTCTGTTGGCTAGGTAGTTCTTGAAGGTGGAGAGAACCACACTACCAACGCCATATCTTCTGAGTTTTTTGAGCAGGATATCATGGGATACACAGTCAAAGGCTCTGCTGAGGTCACAGAGTGTTAGCATTACCGACTCCCCAGCTTCAAAGGCCTCGCCAACTTCTCTTGCAATCCTGGCAATCGCAGACGAGGTAGATCTCCCTGCGCGGAAACCGTGCTGTGAGTCTGAAAACAGCTGGTGTGTTTCAAAGTATGTATACAACTGATTCTTCATCACCGTCTCTATCACCTTACTAATCACAGGTAGTATCGAGATAGGTCTGTAACTCGAGATACTGGCATGATCACCTTTTTTGTATATTGGAATGGTCTTGGCTCTCTTTAGCTTGTCCGGAAAAACACCTGTCAACAAGCACCTGTTGATAACTGTAGCCAGGGGGGCAGAGATGTCATCAGCTACATCTTTCAGTAATTGGGATGACCAGCCAAACAGCAGTTTTCATGCAGTGAATGAAAACAGTCACATGCTCTGGAACTTTTGAGTCCAGAGATTAGAGTCCGTATCTGCTTTTCTGAGATGGGATTCCATCTGTCAAGGGAACAGTGGAGCTCTTCCACACGCCTTCCAACATAAGCCAACGGGTCTTGGGGGCTATCTGGGATGTTGTAGATAATTTCTTCAACAGACGAGACAAAGAAGGTGTTGAAATCATCTGGACTCGCCATTCAGGACATTTTAGGCTTTTGGGGTTTCACACTATTAACCACACTCCAGGCTGCTTTGCATCGGTTTTGCGAGCTTTCAATGAAACGGACATTGGCCAACCGTTTGGCTTCCTCAACTTTTTTATTATAAAATCTTTTCAGGGCCAGGTAATTATGAACATTGTGTCAGTAACACAACCTGTGTCTGTTTGGTTGGCTCAAAGGTAATTTCATTCATTTTCATTTGTTTTTTTAAAGGTCATAGGTATCTATATAAAATAAATATTTAATGTAGCCTATTTTACTGGAAATAAACATTAATAGTTGGCTTATTAACCCTGCAGTGGTGACGCACAGTCTCTGAGACTGACGCAAGGTTCAGTCGTAGTTAACCAGCTCCCCGAAAAGTTGTGTTCGCTGCTGCTTGAGTTATGCATTAAGCTACACTCCCTTCAGTGTGCTATCAGTTTTTTTTAAGTAATGTAGAGGGCCAGGCTTATTAGTAGACCATAGGATAGTATCACATATGTAAAAGCTTATTGTGCACCCTCATTCACAGGTCCTCATTCTCCTTCAAATCCCAGGTTCTTAGTGGACCACGAAATCCTTTTGACTACCGGTATCACTTCCTGTACTTCCCTTTGATCTGCAGTAGATAGACCAAGGGATCTGGGGATCTCACACGCAGGCCTTGTAGGGCTGGGCACATCACGGGGAAAGCTGTCTCCTCATCCTCTCCACATTTTCTACATAAGAAGCTTTCAACTTGAATTCCCATCTTGTGTAGATGTCCGCGGAACACCCAGTGGCCGCTGATGAAGCCAACCACTTTCCGCAGGTTCTTCTTATTCAGCCCAAGTGCATCTATCGCTGTCGCACCTGTAGGTGTCTGCAGCATTCTTTTTGACTGTATATTGCCTTCTGTTCTTTCCCAGCTCCTTTGATCTTTCTATGCCCATCCACTGGCGAAAAGCTTTAGGCCTACAGCACGTAGGTCTACATTATGCATTAAAATTACAATGTTGTAACATTATGTAATACAGTGTTGTAAGTAATACCTTCACAAAGGTATTGCTTACAACACAGCACATGTTGTAAGCAATACCACACGTCGGCTCTGGACCCATGTGCCAGCTTTCAGCTCCTTTATTTGCCCACTTGTCACCTCCCTCATTGCCAGCAATACCTTTGTGACCTGGAACCCAATTAAGGATAACCTTGTTGTTCTCTCCCAGGGCTTTCATGGCCTGATGACAGTCCTATACTGCCTTAGAGGTAGGCCTATAGTCAAAACTGTCAAATGACTTTAGCTCTGCTTTGCTGTCCGAGTTCATGTGTATGGTGTGGCCTGTCAGACCACGCTCCAAACACACTCTTGCACACTCGGACAGGGCAACCACTTCAGCTTGGAATACAGTAGGTAGCCAGTTTCCCCAGGCTTACGCATGACTCCGCCTTGGGTCTGACTCCATATATTCCCACCCCAATGCCTGTTGGCTTTTTCGAGCCATCCGTACATACCAAGTGATCCCCCTTTTCATGTATTCAGGTCCACCTTTATCCCAGGCAGCCCTGTCAACAATGTTGACATTGTATGGCTTTTCTAGATGGGTGACCTTCACTATCCTGTTTGGTAAAATTTCCAAGGTGTCCATATGCACTGTGACTGTGTCCACAATCCTTGTATGCTCACTGGAAGCATTATACTTACTTCCAGTTGCCACTGCAACCCATTCTGCAGGCTGCCATCCTTGCCTCCCCTTTCACAATGCTTCAACTGCTGGGGTGGAATTTTGAGGTCAATTGGTAGTGCACAGCAGCTTTAAACTCTCCCCTGCACCGATTTCACAGAAATTGTGAGTGGTCTTTTATTCCGACGTCGCTATTAGTGTTTTGAATATTGTAATTTTCGGTCCGGTGGTGCACCGACGTCACCATATGTGTTTTGGTAAGAGTATGTCCCCCGAACGGCAAAATACATTGTCTTAGTAATAAATTATTAGCCTATATCATTGATTACGTTTAGAAAACCTTTTTAATTGTTTGACATTACTATACAGTAGGCCTACTACTAATTTTATGAACATTTATAATAATTTACGTTCCAACAGACCGACGTCACCAAGATAGGGGTTTTGCATGTTATTCCCCAATTTTCAAAACTCGTTTATTTTTTCAAAAAAAACAAATGAATAGATTTTTGATTTCCAAGATTTAGTTTTAAGATTAACGCTTTACAATTACTAAAAATTGTTTTAGATTTTGGGTTTTTTATATTTAGGTTAAAATTGCTGAATTAAAAATTCTGAGTTAAGTTTTGGAATAAAACATACAATGCAATAAATATTCCCCCCCCCCCCCCCCCCCACTTCAAATGTGTTTTCATTTGTATTACCATGTAGCCTACATATCTTCTTAATACTTTAGTATTACTACCACATTTTTTAAAAACCTAATTCCAATCGTTTAGTCCATGTAAAAAATTACTTATCCTAACTTAAAAGTTGGTCTCACAGACCGACGTCACCAGTTGAAGCCGCAAAATCATGTCACCACTGCAGGGTTAAGGTTAAGTCCAATCTATAAACATAACTAAAGTTATTTTACAATTGAATTTTTTAGGTACTGTACATTTTCTGTCCAATAAGGCTTTTAAAAAACTTGAATGACTATGTGGAATTAAAAGGGTACAGTTCCGCAGAGGACCTACATTATTATTGGATGTATTATCCAACTAAAGTTCAATATCGTATCGGATGTCGTTTTCACACGATATAATATTGGTTGTATGTATCTATACAGGGTGAGTCTTCTAAGTTGTCCTAAACAGATTACAGACGAATGGCTTGACATACAGAGATGAAACAAAACTTTCCCCCACTAATTCGTACCCAAGGAACAACGTTAAAATGTTTTTACCATTTTTAAAATACAGGGTGTTCAAGAAACTGGGGGTCATGGGTTCGAATCTCAGAGTTTTCAAATGTAAACATATGTCATGTTTTGCATCATTTTATAGCTCTAGACAAAACAAACAATTTAGTGAAAACAGAACTCATTTATCTTTGTCCGTTTCAAAATAGCGGCCATTTTTATAGAAAATATTGATA